ATTATTTGCAAAAAGTAACTGTTATGTTTCTTGCGGCTTCTTCTCAGCAGATAACAACATCCCGAATCCAGCAGTACAATCATAAAAATTGACGATTTAAAAGAGCTTGTAAACAAGTCTATTTGAATCAAAATTATTCCTATTCTATTGTAAACGTTAGGGGTAGCAATCAATGAAATAGTATGAGACGGTGACATCTGGTGTCTTGTTCCTTCTCATGCGAGCACAAATCGTAATGATTCTTTTAATGGATTTCGGCACGGCATTTGTTATGAGATGATTCGTAAAAGTTAATTTAGACCAAGAGATTGAATTCGTATTCCTTCTTTCTGCTATTTCAATTTTTTGCAGTAAACAAACTAAGTGTATCGCCACTTGATGGAATTTGCATTAGAAATATCCATAGGAGATGACAGATATAGCAGAATGGATTGGTAAACTATAGTGGCAACTGGCCGGTATGTATAAGTGGTAATTGGTCGAATGTACCAATAGCTGATGTGGTAGGAAGTTTCAACGCAATGTATGGCAACCTCCAACTATCTGATGACATTAAATGTGTTCAAAAAAGTCAAGATATAGCTTTATGCCGTTGTTTCTGGTGGTCTAAAAATCTTCTATCTTCAGACACTTTATATATACTGCGAATGGCTAAAAACCATATAAATGAATGAGACAACGAAATTGATTATAAGCACTCTAAAAGCATTATTTAATTGTTTAATTGCACTCTTCAACAGCTATGTTTGATACATGTCCACTCTAGGCTTCTTTTTTGTAATCTTTGCTTAGTCCAAACGCAGCTTAATAATATAATAAATTATACAGCATGTCTGTACACTTTTTAATTATCTCAAAGCGTTTATTTTAGTGAAATATTAAATGTAAATATTTCTTGAAATAAATTTCCATTGTTATTCGCGTTCATGTAAATTTTATCTAACAATTCTCTATTGCTCACCTCAAAATCTGTGCTACACTAGATAATTAATTAGAAACAAACCAAGCGTTTAATATTACCTACAGACTCATATAATAATATGCCATAATTAATAATAAAATTATTTAAGATTCGTTCACAGACTGTAGCAGGTGTCTATGTTCAGAATGATTGATATAGAATAAAACACACTCATATGGCACCTCTGTCCCATTCGTGTTCCTACCGTGGAACAGTTGTTTGGTTTGAAGGGTGGGATATGGCAGTGAATTTACAGGGTATTGAGGAATAAGAACTGAGTCCTCAGGAATAACAATGCATGGGGAGTATCATGGGCGAAACAACATACTATGTTAAGTCCATGGTACCGCTCATGTTTATAGGCGACGGTTACCACTTTCCATCAGGTGGGCCGTCAACTGTTTGTTTGCATTCTAAGTTGCATAAATAAAACATAAATAACTGGCAACCCGTAACTAACTAGTAACAGCTTCGCACGGTGAAAGAGAAACAATATAGTGTCAGTGTGGAGTGATTAATAATATTACTATTGTATCCGTCTATGGCTATCTAAATCTACAGAACTTGCATAATTTTTTTAAACATTAAATGGTCGTAGAATACTATATATACATAATATGTGTAAAATGTTATCGCTGACTTATATGTAGCTCTAAAAAAGAGAAACAATCCCATCATACAATATTTTGTTATGATTCAGCATTATCAATTAAAGCTCTCAATCAACTTTATTTGTTCCGACATCTTGAACAATTTTTGTTATATATATATATATATATATATATATATATATATATATATATATATATATATATCAATAAAACACAAACTTCCAAACTCAAACAATAATTCAAGGAAAATATTATAGCTAGTTTATTCTGTTTCTTTTGAGCTTAATGTTTTTTATACCAAGGAATCAAAATTTCATTGTTTAATCATGAAAAAGAAATGATTAAAGGAAGTTGGTAAAAAAATTAATAAAAGATTTATGTGGGACACTGCAGTTACGGAGCGGATAGTGGTCGGAAACTGCGGTGGCTCGAGAGGAAGGGGCCGCATTCCCATGTGCCTTTAATCTAGAAAGAAGCCAAAGAACACCCCTCTCATAAATCATTTAATATATAAGTAATCTATTTTTATGAAATTTAAAATACCACTGCTTCTCACGACGCGTGGGTAGACTACACTGTTTCTAAATTAAACAAAATATTTAAGAGTATATTAGACGCGTAGGTAGCTGTAAGGTATCCGCTTTAATAAAAATTAGTCAAATATCTTCTTAATATAATAAAATTGTATGGATGGTGTCTGTGCATGGGAGTTCTTTAAAAAAAAATAGGAATATACTACTAGAATACAAACCAAACTGATAATTTTTAGAAATTTTGTATCTTATTTTTTCCGGCATCACGCAATAACTACTCTAGCAAATTGAATGCTGTTTCCATAGTTATATTCTTCAAGGACTAACTCTAAATCTAATGTTTTTTTATGCAACAACCTGACCTGATGGAAAGGGGTAACCGTCGTCTATAGACATGAGCCGTACTATGGACATAACAGACTATATTGTTTCGCCCATGATATCTCCCACGCGTTGCCATTCCTGAGGACTCAGGTGTTATTCTTCTGTACCCTGTAAATTCACGCCATATCCCATCCTGCAAACCGAAACACAACCATGTAAACACAACTGCTTCACGGTAGAAACACGAATGGGACAGAGGTACCCAAGGAATCGACTTTTGTACAAAGTCTCCCTCTGGTATGTGTATGTTTTATCTTGATATGCCATCTATGTGGTATTTTAATGATTTCCCTACTTCTAAAATACACACGTACGAAGTAACGGATAAATAGCTAATTATTTATAAAAATCCCGTGTTACGATATTAGTTTATACTAATCTTTAAAATCACTCATTTTAATGAAATTTTATAAATGTTAAAATAGAGTAAAACCTACTTTTAGGCACAAATATCCGCATTCTATATGCAAATATTTTTAATAATGTAATATAATTATATAAATTAATTAAATAATTGGAATAACTCATAGATTCATTAATTATATAGGTAATGTATAATATAATTAATGAACCTTTGAGTTTCATTCGTTCTATAATAAGATAATAATTATGTTTCACTAAAAACAAACAATTTCAATTTTGGCAAAACCAGTTATTTTAATTTAAAAACAAAAGTATTGAACGGATTTTGACAAAAAATTCTATGAAATCAGTCTGTACATACAGTGAAACTTGGTTAAGTGGGACCTGGATAAGTGAGAAACCTTCATTACTGGAACTCATGCCAAGGACCCAGCACTTTAGCACTGAATTATATTAGCTTCTATTAGAGAGACAAAGCAAACCTCTATATCTGTATATCTTTGTAGATAAAAAAAAGAAATTTCCAAATTTGTTTACAACTAATAAAATTGTGAGGTAAACAAACATTAAAAAAATATACAATCGAATTGGGAACCTTTTCTTTTTGACGCCGTTTTAAAAGTATATATGACAAGTCAATATTAATTGTATCGATGTCGAACGATTTTGCTTTTTTTTTTTGTGGAACAAAATCTACTTAATGACAATTATATAAGTGTGTGTTTACCTAAGAACAAGGAATGATAAAATTGTCAATTCATAGCAGGCTAGTGTATAGAAAATGTTATATGGCCGTATAACCCTACCAAATTCAGGTACAACCTGCTTGCATATTCTCTACATAAACTGTGTCGAATATATAAGCTAGTAATGTAAAATTTGTTATTGACAAATAATTGACATATCAAACATTTTCTATACACTAGTCTTGTATATATATACTAGCGACCCGCCGACTAAATAGCGCCGACTGGCCGGCATATTAGAAACCTTTAAAATTATCAGTGTTTCTCTACAATATTATGCATGTATTATACATATAAACTTTCTTCTTGAATCACTATATATATATATATATATATATATATATATATATATATATATATATATATATATATATATATATATAAATAAAAAATACATAACAAAAAAGGCAACTGATGGTATATCTTTCGTCCATCTTTTTACTAATAATATTTTCATAAGAAGAAAGGAAGCAACCATATAATTTACAGTATTTATTTTATCATTCCTTCTATAAAATTCCTTGTTTTTAGGTACTTACAAAAGATTGCACACAGATAAACTCACGACAATGAACTTATTGTTCTTGTAAACTTTAAACTAGAACCTGCTCTGTGATTACGCTGTAATATAACCTAAAAACGGCACAATAAGGCTGTAATTAGGAACCAAAGGACTGTGCTTTTACGAGTATTAGCGGCACGTTGTCTTTCGTGTGTTTGTAATTACACTTTCTTCAAAAAGTATCTCTTGGTATATATTTTTTTATCATTATTTTATTTGACTTTCTTTATTTTAAATAGTTATCATTAATTTATTTATACTTTGTTATACACGCTAATAATATATAAAGAAATATAACAGTGGAAAACAAATTTAAAAGGCGAGCTTTTTTCGATTTTTTTTTAATAATATAGAAGCCTGTAACATGGGTTATACATATTATACGATATTAACGTATCTTTTTTATAGATGAAAGAATTTTTAGATTCCGTTTAGTACCTTTTGAGTTTATCTATCATAAACAAAGGAACAAAAAATATTTCCTGTTTATAATACTATAGTATATATACATATAGTATCATCATCATCAACTCAGCCATTGACTATCCACTGCTGAACATAAAGCTTCTCCATGAGGGGCATTTTGCCAGTAACTACTAGCAATTGCCATGCTTGGCAGGCGAATTGGCAACCGTAATTATACTTCAAAGATATTTTATAAGGGACGCCACTACCTATCTATTATATATAGCATACCATATAGTTTAGTATATATTACGTTAAGTCGTTTGCTAAATAGACAGGGAGAACTGAGCGCCTTCATAACGCTTTCATGTTTTCAATAATCAATATATAAATATAAAAATTAATAAATATAAAAAACATAAAACTTATACATACCTTGATAAGACCTATAGAAGAGTCCGCCCTTTCAAGACTACAGATGCTGAACTGTATTGAAGGCAGGTCCAGACGGTGGGATAATTGTCTCTGGAATGTTTGATGACGCGTCGGCACTATTGGCAACGTGGTTTGACGGAGAACCTGTAACAAATATATGGGTACTTTTAGTATAGACTCTTTTAGTAGATATAGGTAGTTTTCCGACCATTCTATGTTAAATATTTTTTTTAATACTTATTTCAAGATATTTATTAATACATTTATTATTAATTAATATTATATTATCTATTTTCTACTGCTTTAACCTCATAATGTGCTGATACCGTGGAAATTTGGAAAAAATCTTTTTTACTGGTTATTTATTTTTTTGTTTCGTTTATTATATTTATTTTACACGACACATTTTCGCCAAATTTCCGAGACTTATATAATTGTTTTTTTTTATAATATCCCGGCTATTAGATATTGTCGTTGATACTATAAATGTGCATATGTGTTTATTTGATACATATATATATATATATATATATATATATATATATATATATATATATATATATATATATATATATATATATATATATATATATATATATATATATATATATATATACTATTTTAAATAAAGAAGGACATAGATTACTTTTTATCCCGGTCAATCAATATATCCCGGTCATGCGGATGAACTCGTTAATAAAAATCAGTCGAAAATAATGAAACTGATTAAAAAATAATGAACTCAAATAAAAAAAAATTTAACGCGTTTACAAACTTATAATTTTCACGATAAACCATCCAACTTAATATATTAATTAAAATTTACTCTCAAAGTTGCAAGAAAGTGCATTAATTCATTACATTAATAAAAAAAAAATACTTTACATAGTCTTCATATATCATGCTTAAATGTAAGTAAAACTTTTTACACAAATTAAATAGATAGTAACGACTAACAGCAAGTTTCTTAAGTCTAGTTTGGCTTCTTCCGTCTTAATTCACTAATAAGGTTCATGCTTCTCTTTCTAGGTAAAAAAGTTAGTTAATGATTAGTTAAAGAGAAGAAGTTTATTCATCTAGTTATAAAGTAATGAAGAAAAATAACAATTTAATAATAAGCTTCTCATTTCGATTACTACAACTTCAATATTAACTGTTAGATTTCTTTACCTATCCCAATAATGAAGTCCCCCGTTCGTGATTCACTGTTCATCTCAAAGGTTGACTAGTAGAGAATGTAGCATTCTCTACTAGCATTAAGTCAGCCTTTTGTACTATATTTTCTTTTGTTCAATAAAGTTATTGAAATAAATAATTAAATTCAGAAAAATTAATGTACAAAAGCAATAGAAAGTAGTAAATAGATTAGATGAGAAACAAGATACATACCATATGACAAATAAAATAGACATATATGATATAAGTCTGGGTGTTTTCTGTTAAATATATATGTATTTACAAAAAAAAAATATATTTTAACTTAATTACAAGCATTTTTGAATTGTCATTTTTTTATGATTCTACCGTCCATTCGGAATGTAATCTCAGCTCCGAATAACTGGCATAAAATTCAAATGTAGCTTTTTTAAAAGGAGTTGATTTTATAATTATATGTATAAACACGGACTAGCACAAGAGTTATTAGACAATTTAAATTATTAGACAACTAAAGACCATTGTTATAATGATTAAATTGTAAGTCAAACAAAATATATTCAGATATGTGTCAAACTTAATTTGTAAATATATATTACTTAAATATCACATACGTTTTGACCATTTTAAGCTAGTCATGTTAATTGTTTGATTATTTATATCACTTGTCCAGTATCCATAGTATAAACTCTGTTTAAATTGAAACTAGATGGCGCTGTTCATATTTATTAATCTCTTCAAACCACATCCATATAAGTACCGTTTACCATCAAAGAAACGAGTGATACAGCGCAGACAACTTTTATACAAAATCTCCCTAAGGTAATAAATAATACGATCAAATTAAATTCACAGAAGTTAAATGAAGCAGCTATAAAGTTAGTCGTAATTAAAAAAGAATATACTCAAAGTTATAAGAGTGTTATTATGAAGAATTTTATATAAGCTTTTAATAATAACTCAAGACTAGCGGCTGGCCGCATTAGTGGGAAACTTAATAAGGAAAGCGGCTGGCCGGCGAGATATTTACACCTATATAAAGTAGTGAGACAGGCTGACTTAAATACTGACTCGAATACCAACTCGGTGCTTAAGTATTCGAGTTCTTAATATACAGAAATCGAATACACAAAATTCAAATACTTGCGGAACTCAAATACTAATCGCGTGTTTATTAAAAGTTATTTTGTTTTTTTTTTTAGCATTTTTATTTATTTTAGTCTTAATTTTTTTTTTTTATAATGAATAATAATAGAATAGTAACCTCACTTGTGCTATCAGTATATGCTGGCGGGACTCCAGTAAGAAATGATAGTTGCGAGTTAAAAGGCAAGGTCAGTTAAGCAATCGTTATAAATTCACCTGGAATTAAGCACGATGATTTTTAGAGAGAACCGCGAGGAGAAGGATTTGTCAGTGTATTGTTAGCAATGAGGCTACTAATTCTAATTACTAACAACCTTGTAAAACCCCCCATCCACCCCCATCAGGGTTAATTACCAAAAGATAAATTATTAGATTACTGTGTATTCGTTTCCTTCATAAAAGTAAATTTCAAAAATCGATTGAAAATTACTCAATTACTTGTCCGAGTATCTCAGATTCGGGTCGAGATTCGATTATTTTTTTAAAGATTACCAAAATTCTCGAATGCCAAAAAAAGCCACCTTGGCACATCACTAATATAAAGCATCTGGAATTATCTAGTAACGCGGTACACTTAATATAAAAGCAAGAGAAAATAATGGTTTAATTTTTAAACCTGCTATTTATTACTAGCCGTATCCGACGGCTTCAACCGCGTTGTTATCCTAAATAAGAGCAATTTATTATTTTGTCTCATAGAACAATAGAGACGTAACGTGATATTGAGTCACTTAATGTGCAAGATTTATAATGGCATTTAATTGTCTCTGCTTTTGTTCAATTTGTTTGTATTATTGGAATGTTTATGGAATGATATAATAGTAATATGATAGATAATAATATGATAGTAATCACACTGCTAGATTATTATTACTTATTGAATGAATGGATGATTTTTTGAATGGTTTATTTTTCTCTTCACAAAAGGTAGTAAAATGTACCAGCTTGAGATACAATTAAATATCTGAGACCAATTTTGTTAGGGACTGGTGCCTATAATAGGTTTTGAAACGACGTGTTACATGTCATATATTACTGACCGCACAATGATAGCCGCATGAAGATGTTATAAATCGCTCAACAAACGCTCAAATTTTCACTGTAATATAGAATCTGGAACGTAGATATTCCCGGAAGTACTAAAGTGATCGATATAGTTCGAGGACTTGTAAATTGAAGTGACAATGGGCAGGTTATATTATACTGGTAGCTTGAGCAACAAACAACTGATGGGGAAGAAGGGTTCTCGAGTGGCGACTAGGTGCGGGTAAGCGTAGTGGTTTTTTTTTTAATGAGTGATAATGAAGTAAACTTGCCCGCGCTATAGGTATACACTGGCGGGGCATCAGTGATCAGTGACAATGAAAGCAGGTTAGCTAGCCCATCGTGTTTAACCACGAATTAACCACGATGGTTTCCAGGGGGATCCGCGTGGAAGTCAACCTGATAGGGTATATTGCTAGCAATGGGTCAGCTAGACCCCATTACTAACAATCCCTTTCCCCCCAAGCGTAGTGGAGCATTGCCCCGCGAGATAGACTAACAATTTCAAAAGTTATGTAGGAATTCCTTAGATGTAAGCAGTACAAGACAATTGTAGAGAAATATAAAAGGCATATGTTCAACAATGAACGATGGATAGGTTGCAATGATAATGTCTATTTCGATTCAAATATCTATTAAAATAACATCCACTTCGTTTCGCGATAAATAATTACCTCGATAAAAAGAAATACTAAGACTTAAGTAAATCGAAAGATTTAAATTGCAGGAAAAGTCAAAACAAGATAATCAACTTTACTCAATTTGAAATTAATATTGTTTTCAGTTATATCAAAGCCTTTGACGTTAGACCCTAAAAGAGAGTGGTTTATATAACTTTTAAAATATTTCTCCCCGACTTTTCCTTGTACTTATAAAAAAGATTTACTACGCGAATATTGATCTAGTTAGCCCACGTGTTTACTATGGACGTACTAAATAAATATACTTTATTATAATTACAATAGTTCAAAGGTACTACATTCTATTCCTTAAATTCAAGAGAGCATCTTCAAAGATAATCTATTACTTTACAGGATCTGGCATATTAAAATATTTAATCCAGTTCAAAGTGATAAAATCTTTTTCGCCCGCGGTATTAAATGCTTTATTTTTTTTTCTAAATTTACGTGAAAAGTCGCTGTCAGATTAAAAGTAGGTAAATTTTGTTCTCAGTCGCTTGACCTTTCTAAATGGATATAAAAGCAAGTTTTTTTTATTATCTCTTGAATATTTTAACTGATGAAACGTTAATAGTAAAAATGAAATAATAAATACGATCGGACATATTGCACAGTGTCATCTAGTCCCAAGCTGGGGAGAAAGGGATTGTTAGTAATGGAGACTGAGAATCCCATTGCTAGCAATACACCCAACCAGGTCGATTTCCTCGCGGTTCCCCCTGGAAACTATCATGGTTAATTCCTGATGAATTTATCGTGATAGGCTAACTGACCTGTTTTCATTCTAATCGATCACCCTTCACTGTTACCATTTCCATTTTCACCCATAAAAAAAAGTCCCAAACTGAGTAAAGAATATTTTTTATGTATATAGACACATAATATACATATAAAACTTTCAGACTAATATAAAACATACTCATGAATATAAATGCTTTTTACGAGAATCAAACCCGCGACCACCAGGAGAGGCGGTATCTTAAATTGCTACATCAACAAGTTTGTTTCACTCTTGCCAAAAGAGCATTACCATTTTGTAAACAGATGGCGTTACGTGGCCTTGTATATCAGTCGGACTACCCACATTATTCGTCGCATATTCAAATCCATGTTGCAAAG